GTGGAGTTGCTAGCACCACGCCCCAACCCTCCCTCTTTATCCGGGCTTGGGACAGGCTAGAAAACTAGTGACCTAGTAATCTAGGCGTGGTCACCAGACAAACATCTCTGAGGATAACTTAACTAAGGCTGAGGCTTTGTCCAAGCACTTTAGTCAAGTATTCTCTGATAATATTGATACCAGCTTTGTAACTTTTCCAGAAGGTAACTTGAAAATGGCACCCTTATACATTGGAAAGGATACTGTCCTAAAGTGTCTCCTAAGGCTCAATCCTGGTAAGTCCAGTGGCCCTGATGAACTCCACCCACGTATATTAACAGCATTGGCTGAAAACATAGCCGAGCCATTGTCGGTAATCTTCAATATGTCTCTGGACCAGTCTAAATGTCCAAGAGACTGACTGGAAAGATGCCATCATTAGTCCGGTCTTCAAAACCGGATCTAGAAACTTAGTTCAGAACTATCGTCCTGTTAGTTTGACCAGTATTGTTGTTAAACTACTAGAAAGAATAATTCGTGATGCTATCATTCAGTTCATTGAAGGGAACAAACTTTTCGATGTGGAACAGCATGGTTTTAGAGCAGGTCATTCTTGCTTGACCAACCTTCTTTTGGCCAGAGAAAGTTGGCCAAGCTCACCTGATGCTAGTATACCGGTGGATGCCATATTCATCGACCTTAGCAAGGCGTTTGACAGGGTTTCTCATTCAGGTCTTCTAGTAAAGTTAGGTAGTCTGGGAATCAATAAAGTGGTTGCCGACTGGATTCAAGACTTTCTAAAGGACAGAAGACAAAGAGTACGAGTTAACGGGGTTTTATCAACATGGGAATCGGTTAAGAGTGGCGTTCCTCAGGGTACAATTCTAGGCCCACTTCTTTTCCTGATTTATGTTAATGAGATTCCATCGGTAGTTAAGTCATCCTGCTTACTGTTTTCTGATGACATCAAGATATGGAGGGATTTACACGATGACAGTGATCAACTTGCTTTGCAAGAAGATTTAAACTTGTTAAGTGATTGGTGTAAGCACTGGGCCTTGGAGATTAACTTAAGCAAGAGTGTAGTTATGCATGTATCTCATAGTCACGTGCACAATTACTCAATGAATGGCATTACTCTCGCAGTGGTCACTGAGTACAAGGACTTCGGAGTGGTTGTGCAGAATGACTTGAAAACAGCAACAAACTGTAGAGCTGCAGCCACTAAGGGTTTTCGAATATTGTGGGCCATACGCAAGGCTTTCGCAAAATTTGACGCTGATATATTTCGTATATTATATCCGACTTATATCAGACGTCATTTGGAATATGGGATCCAGGCAGCGAGCCCGTGTTTCGAATACGAAATAGACTTATTAGAAAGGGTGCAAAGAGTAGGAACTAAGCTAATAAAGGGCATCTCAACCCTCTCATATGAGGAGAGGTTAAGTCGACTGGGTTTATTTCCACTGTCATACAGACGACTTACGAGTTACCTAATACTAGCATACCGTATCCTAAGAAATGATTTTGGATCTAGTTTATCTAATTTATTTCTTCCTTCTAGCACCAACCAATTGCGAAAACATCACCTCAAGGTTCAGAAACCACGGTCGAATCGTCTGCGTTTGGAGATCCGTTTTCCACATCGAATTGTGAACCACTGGAACTCCCTACCGGAACACGTCGTATCAGCGCCATCCGTTGATTCATTCGAGGCGAGATTGGACCTCCTTTGTGCAACAAATCCAAAGGATTAACACAGGCATATAGCCTACTATCCTAAATAAATTGTTAACTGTAAACGTGTAGACACACGAACTGGATCGTGAATTGAAGTCCGTTGAAGTTTGCCAACCTAACAAAGGAAGCATACAAAAATCAGAGTTGTAATAATTTGCAATTGCATTTACGCGAATAAAGCTTGATATGGGTGGAATTTCGTAAGCAGTATTTTCCTCAAGTATCTTAAGTGTCCCAAATAATCTAAAATTACTCTATACTTCTGCGCTCTCTGTCATCTCGTAACAGTAAATCTAGACAGCGTAACACTAATCTTATGTTCCAGAGCGCTGACGGCTAAAGCCTACATGGTAATATGTCTCAGATGGGAATAATAATAGAAACCTTAGCATGTAGTCGTATTCACGCATACTATGAAATCGTCCTAGAAAGACAAATCACAAAGAGAATTTCGTGTTAGTCTCTACACTCAGATAGATGACTTGTATGGGAGTTGATTCCATGCCACCTAGGGTGTAACAACAACTCAGACAAACAAACTCAGGCTTAAATTAATTTCCTTTGTGAGAGCAGATCACTTGGAGAAACTATAGCTTACATTTTATGCATTTTGATGAATCTTAAAATAAGCTGGACCATCTATTCAAACGCTCTGTGATGACTACAATTTTCACACATCATCTCACTTCTCGTCAAGAGGTATCATCACAGGCGGCTATGCTCCAATAATTAACTGTTGGCATATATAGGCAGGTTGAGAGAGAGTGTGTGTGTGTAAACCTACGAGGACAATTCTAACACACTCCTACATGTATATACGTAGGTGTGTATGTATTTATGACTGATTTGAAGAGCAACATGTTGTCATTTTCATTCTTCAAATAGCTCAGTAGTGGAATCAATTTGGTTGGCGAGGTCTAGCAGTGGAATCCGGGATGCACATTTCCTCCTACTTAGGCCACGGGGATAATGTTTTGAGGTTCGAGTCTCAGTAGGAACACCATCACTTACTGGGAATGCAGGTACGTCCAGCTGACAAACCTCTTTTCATACTTGTTTTATTATTCCAGAGTTACCCATTTTCCACCAGCTCGTCCTTCCTACACTACAAAACGCTGTAACTTATTCTGAAGTGCCGTCCTTTCACGCTTTACCTCTTCCAATATAACTGTGTGCACCATCTAAACAACGAAATTCAAGGATAACCTGACAATCGAGAGGTTGCATCTGCACTGAACCATTTCCAGGGACTCCAATGTAACTGTGGACACTGCGCGAAAGTCAGATGGACTGATTTTGTGGGCTTATAAAATTAGGATTACAACTAACGCGATATTGCAACGCTAAACTCAATCAACTAAAATCACAAACTAACTTTTCCGAACTAACCTTTTCAGTCATGGTTGCGGAGAATAGGAATGTCTGTCGCCGTGCAGGAACAATACAAAGAATCCTCTCAATGACAGATTCGAAATCAGTACTGAGCATTCTGTCTGCTTCGTCGATTACTAGTACGCGTAAGTTCGCGAACTTTAACTCGTCGAAACCTTTGGTTTTCTTTAAATGATCAACAAACCGACCAGGTGTAGCTATTAAAAAGGTGGATCACAATCGCACATTAACACAATTTTGAGTACTGTATATCGAATAAACAAGTATTAAGAAATGAAGGAGACCTGGTAGGTTGATGCTTTAAGTTGACGATATTATTATCATCATCTTACCTCAAGTTACAATACTACAATGGAATTTACAAAACCAGACAAATTTAAAGACCTGGAATCTTAGGGGAAGATGTTTGTCACAACAGAATCAAACCATCCACATTACGTCTCGAAGGTTTCCAGACCTTGTGTGCTTCCAGCTAAAATATACCTGTATGCCTAACTAAAAACAAAACTAGGGAGATAAATGGCAAGGCTGGAGGCATCAAGTAGTTTACAAACGAAAACATACTGTATGTTACAAGCTACAGTGTCACCACCTAACTTTTAGGTTGAACGGAGGAATAAAAATTCTGGCATAACAATTCTCACTTTGCCATTAATTCAGTGTTAGAATTAATATAAACCACCAGTAGAATACAAATATATTCGGTGAATGAGCAAGACAATCAAACTCCACAAAATAATAGACTGTTAGGGAAATGTGACCTCAAGGAGGAAAGTTATATTTTCGTAATTAGGTTCCTATCGGCCTTATTTCATAAGCCCCAACTATAGGTGTATCCGCTCACAAATATTAGTGTGTAATTCAATTAACATAACTCGGAATATGTTTGCTTACACATTAGTGGTGTCCTAACAAATTTGTCAAGCAAAAATCAAATTGACGATATATCATTCTATTCTCATGACGAATAGAACTTCGAGTACATGAAAGAGGTGTGTGCACTGTCACAGACTTTCTAGTTTTAAGTAAATGTGCTTAACCTTATTCAAGGCGTAGAACAGGAATTTCACAGCAACCTTATTTTCAACTACCCATACACTGAATCGGGCATAAAGTCCCGACATATCGATGGCATGAAAGTTGGAACTAAAATAGCGGCACATCTCAGTGTGAAATCACGAGGCACAAAACGTCATGTTTATGTGGTGAATTCACATCAGTGGCTGCATAGGTGACGTCTTTGGAAAATTAGTGCATTGTGCAATGGAAACACTGATCGGATATAAATTTATTTATGCATAACCCCTTAAAGGTCTCTTCATGTCAAATGCAACTGCTGGTAATGACTTCGCATAAAACATGATTAAACACTGTGAATAAATATTCATCACAAATCTATTTGTAGCACCACCTACACTATACTAACTAGATTGTGCTGACAAGGTCTCGTGAAGCCAGGTTGGATGATCAACAAATAACCCGTCATAAAATAAGGAAATCGGAAGGAAATTACCAGCATCATCACCAGAATTTTTCCGTACAATAAATTTATTGGCTGATTATTTACAAAGTGTTCAGAACATTCTAGTCAGTGTAGAACAAACACCGACTTCCATTTGTTTCCTTTTCAACTGAAAGCTATGACACACTCTAACAAGAAATGGGAGCAAGTATCTCAAGAAGGAAGAAGTATTTTCACTCTTCAGATTATTGTGAAAATAGAGCCAAGAAACCTGAACCAAAACAAGGTGGATACACAACAGTCAACGTATAGTACTTCCACCATTATGAAACACGATCAGATCAAGTCTGTCACCAAATAGAGGCAATCTGTAGTTAGGAAGAATATTAAGGTAAAGGAGTAAGCTATTATGAAATCATACAAACTAACCGATTATAACGTGAGGAGGCGATATCTTCATCAAATCAGCTTGTTGAGTGATAGGGACACCACCGACCAACAAGACGGTAGACAAACCAACAATTTTTCCAAGTGCATTAAATTGAGCTTGAACCTGGGCTGCCAACTCACGAGTTGGTGCTAACACAAGCGCAAAGAATGGATGAGGATCTCTCATTAATTTCTAAACTGGCCAGCAATCAATAACTACAAATAACTCACCTGAATTATGGGTAGTGCATAAGCTCCAGTTTTCCCTGAACCTGTTTCCGCAAGAGCGACCAGATTCCTGCCTAATGTTCTGTAAATTAAATATATGATATAACCTTCCAAAGCTGGGGGGATAGACAAAATCTGAATTGCTGTCGGCTCTTTCCATTGCAGATTATCACATGCTTTCTGAAGCTCATCATTGATACCCTAATTTGAATAAATACGGAGGAACATCTTACCAACTCTCGAAAAGTCTTGATTTCCGGCATTAAATGTTCAGATTTCAAATGGATCAGGGTCTTTTCTAAAAACGATTAGATTTTATATTGAAACAGCTTCAGTGAAAATTTCAATGACTTACTAGTGATTAGAATACAACAGAGATACTTTAACATGGTTTGTAGCAAAAATGAGTAAAGAAACAGCACATAACTCCGATGGGCCGGAAGCTTCTCTAACCTACTAGATCTAGTGTTATACAAGAGCAGCAGGCTGGTAAATGGAGTCATGGAAGGCGATAAGAACTGTCTCGGCGATGACAAAGTTATTAAACCAAAGATGCCCAAACAAAGTGCTTAAGATACCAGCCTAGCGATCCCAAACTGTCGGCAAGTGTAGTGTGATGTCATCACAGTTTCTGCCATGTAAGTGCTATTCACTGAATTCACAATTCTGGGGAATGCTTCAGGAAAGTAAAAGTGTGAATGCGAAAGTCCAGCGCTTACTACCGAATTGGTGGATATGCAAGTCTACCTACGAGAGCTGGAAAACCCTGATTTCAAACCTATATTGTACATGGGCTCTACAGTCCGATCGGATCCAATGGTGTATGAACCTGTTTTCGTTAATTCATTGAAAGCCATGGGATCTGACTTTCCAAGCCTTTAGGGATTACCCAAGATTCAGGAGGTTGACAATCCATTAGGTCTAATTCTGTCAATGTGTCACTCTCCTACAAACAAATTAGCAAAATGGTTAGCTGACGTTTTAAGCCAGTATACAACAAATTATGTGAGTTTACTTCGAAAGATACTTTTGAACTTGTTGACTGTTTTGTAGATATGAACATAAAAGACAGGAAAATGTATTCGTTTGATGTTAATTCATTGTTTACTTGTGTACCATTGACTGAGACAGTTGATATACTTTGTCACCACACATATTCCAGTTGTTTTTCATTCACTTTAACTGCTTTGAAAGATTTATCGCTGTTGTGTACTGACAACATCCATTTCACGTTTGGAATTGAGCACTTTCGGGAAAACAAATGGTGTTGCTATGAGGACTCCATAAGGACCTTTGTTAGAGGATGGTTGCATCGCTTATGTTGAAAACTTATCCCTTGATTTAATTGCCAAAGTGCCCTTCTATAGGAGATATGTAGGTGATATTATTTTGAAATGTGATGATCATGAAGATGCGAGTAGTTTATTGGATAAACTCCGTACCGAACCATATAAGTCTGTAGCGGTAAATAATTCCCCAAAATTATTGGCCACAGCATTCATCACTGGACATTGGATGCTGACCGTCACTGTTTAAGTCAACTTGTTTAGCTGAAGGCTTCCAATCAAGCATCCACGCCATTTGGTACTCCATCGTGTTACGTTCGTTCGTTCGTGCACGATCCGTAGCTAGCTAAGCAATCATCTCGCACTCCGATTTGGTCCCGAAATATATCTCGTAATTTGGACGATCAATTATTGTGTTTTGCTTTGTCTTTGGTCTACCCGGAACGAATACTAAAGAAGTTGTGTGTATTAGATCTTGCGTTAGTATACTTCGTACTATCTGTGAACGTCAATAGCGTCAGCCTCTAGAAGTCTTACATGAGAGGAAGAAAGTCGCAACCATCTTTCGTTCTTAGACGTACTACTGGGTCGAAGAGGAGATGGTACAATGAGACGATCAATTTACAGAAAGACTACTTGGACAGGGCAATACTTAGATTCTCACAGCTTCTGTCCGGCCAATAACTGCTACCTTGCCGTGGTGGTCGGGCTTGAATGCCGCAGTGACCCAACAAGCTAAACTGGCTGAGTCTCACGTTTCTGCAGGTCCTACCATGCCAGGAAGGTTGTTTGGATAGCGGTTAGACTAAAAGCAGTTACCATGGGGCACATGGGCTCCAGAATCCAATCGGATCAAATGGCGTACGAACCCATATGGGTCACCGGCAACCATGGGAACGTAGCACCTGACGCTGCTCCGCTGCCTTGCGGATCAGACTCCAAGTCAAAGGCTCGGGGGGTGGTCCCTTAAGAAAACCACCTGCTTCGGTCTGGGCACCCGGGCAGTGTCTCAGCCCTCACACAATAAATGAAATAAAGCAACAAACTATTATTGAAACTCACCGCGTGCTCGTAAAAATGATTCCAAGAAATAATGATACATCAAGCAACTTATACCCTTCCAACCTTACTTTTATTTTTATACTTAGTTTCCTGTATTTTACCTTTGCTCATCTTGACATCTTAACCGTCGACAGCCTTTCGCCTTTGTCTGGATTCCTAGCCTATCTGTGCCGTGTTGCAATTTCCTTCTTTCTTCCCTTCCTGATGATAGTTAACGAATACTGTTTGAACTTGTTAAACATGACTGTTTTCCTTCCTGATGAAGTTCTTTATCCGTTTTCTACTTATATTTTTACTTTAAATCTATGTTGTTTTATTATTATTGTGTGGCGCATCTTTCTTGGTGCCATAATGTACCAAGTTTTTCTGCGTTTAAATAATAATAACTACAGTATACCAGAGGCTTGATGAAATGCTTATTCAAGATAATTCAGCCTATTTGTACTGCTAATTTTGTAAAGATGGAAAATGAAGTACTCGTGGATACTCTTGTCGAAAAGCAACAAGCTAAAATGACCCGAACTCATGTTTCTGCAGGTCCTACCATGCCAGAAAGCTCGTTTGGATAGCGATTAGGCTAAAAGCAGTTACTGTCAAAGTGCAAGTTGTTTACACCATATGGACGAAGACGTACTGCTCGCGAATAGGGATGCAACAGCACTAAGGTGTTTCCATAAGATGACCAGCATACTAGTTATGCTGTGTCTCCGCTATGTAAAGAGGGAAGGTTAGGTTAGGTTGACCCTGAAAACTGTACATCGCCACTTATCTTCTGGCGAACAAAAATCCAAAGAAAAACTCAAAGAGGTCGTGTGTTACAAGCCCCAAGCAGTTGTCACCCGGGGCTCTGCCATCAAGCAACACTAGTGCTTTTTCTGTTTCAGCTGCCTTATAATGGAAAGTACAAATTGCCAACACACCTACTTCCAGAAGCACACATAGCTCTCCTGATCATCGCCCACCATTGTCTACGTCACCATCATTTTGGTTTCCCATTACTGTTAACGCCACTCCATAGGCACATCCCTCATCTTCTCTTAACTCTGCAACCACCAGTAGCGACACTACTGATATTCCCTTAGAACCACACTGTCAACTCCATATTGGAGCATCTGACATTGGGACCCCTTACCATATAGGAAAACAGGTATCACTAGCCACAACTCTGGCCTCTTGAGGCATCGTTGCATGTTGTGTTTCAGAGACACACATAAAAGATCCGAATGTGGTTATCCAATTAACCCCACATGTAAAACGGAGTCAGCAGATTCTTCGGCTAGTTCACGTGAACTCTCAGGTATAGGGATAGCATTTAGTGCTATGGCAGAAAAATCCCCACTTGGCTCTTTCCCATAGAATAGCAGTTAGTGTGCTGTCCATTTGAACGGATCCCCTACAAGAAGGATAGACTGAGATATTCGTCGATGTCATTCCATAATCTCCGCTTAGATCCCAATAGAATGCAGTTCGTATGAAGTGAGGGATGGGTTCTATCTAAAGGTGTCTAGTTTGCTGCTCGATGCAGAACTCTCAGATATAGTCATTTTAGCAGGTGATTTCAATACATAAGCAGGGAATGTGTGCCAGTTAGAAAAGTACACTGGTGGTACCTACGGTGTTGCATGCCTACGAATCGACAACGGTGACCATCCACTACAGTTCTGTCCAGACAATCATTCGTTCCTGGTCCGGACCAGGTTCAAGCACAAAGAGAGAGACTGACTAACCTGGTGCTCTCCACCATCAAACCAACGATGTAATCAATTAGACCACATAGTGCATAAGTTATCAATGGCGAGGGTCGACAGAAGAATGCAACACCTTCTGGAACACTTACGTAAATTTCAACCATGTGCTGGTCCGAGCAGGCTTATAGCCACGATTCGACAGACGTAGAGAACAGGCAGCTGTAGTCACCACTTCCCAGACATGATCAGGACACTAATTCCTTATTCGAGGAAGAAATGTCTAAACACATGTCTGAGACTGACAACAAGACTCATCCTGAGGACGTCTGACACAGTATCCAACCAGTTGCTCATAGCCCAAAACCGAAGATTACAAGATCACGGTGGATTCCTGTCGCTTTAGCTGAGTTGACTGATTCAAGAATACTGATCCCAGCGGGCTCTGAACATGATGAGAAGCAAAGGCTGCTCAAACGCAAACTGATTAAAAGTCTTCACAACGACCACGAACATTGGTGGATGACAAAAGTGAAAATGATGGAAGATGAATCAGTGATAGACAACATTAGACAGCTGTCTAGGCTTATCAGGGGAACAAGGCGCAAAAGGCAAATGATAAGTGAGACAATCTCCGGGAAAAGTGTAGCCCTAGTTAATTCTCTGGATAGATGACTGAAATGTTGGGACGGACAATTTGAGGAGCAATTCAAATGACCTACACTCGCGCCAAATTTCCCTAGCATTCAGTTCCCACCTCAGTCCTCTATCTGCAACTGAGATTACGAATACTCTCTCTGGTCTGAAACGAGTAGTAGCGGTAGGATGCAGTGGAATGACTCCAGCAGCGCTTAAGGGTGGTGCTGGCTAACTGTTTTCTGAGATAATTAAGGTATTAGGTAATATTTTGGAACCATAGTTCCGTTGTACCAGTGATCATTGATTACCCCAGTCTATAAAATGGAGACAAGTCCTCCTATGATAATCATAGGGAGATACGCTCGACTAACTTAGTATCTCAAATTCCAGGTTCCGTAGTCATGCATAGATTGAGCGATGGTCGAGAGAAACTAGCTTGGAGAAACCTGTCAGACTTTAGGCCAGGAAGAGGGTGCATTCATCATATCTTCAGCCTTCGACAGATTCTCAAGCATACATAAGCTTACCGGTGTCCAACACTTGCCATATTTCTTGGCCTGAAGGTAACACTCGACTCTGTCGACCGAGAGG